TCAAGATTCAAAGCTTTATTGTTATATGCACAGTAAAGAAACTGTGCATATAACAAAATATTTTATATAATTGTAAGTGCAAGCTAAAAATAATACAATAAAATAAACATGCAACAAAATGATAACAAAAGGATTATTAAATAGAAATATAAACTGGGCCAATAAGCCTATGTTCACTGTTACCTACATGGCTGCAGCAACAACATTTTTAAAATCTAAAATAAATAAAGAACCATCTCAGTTCCATCGTGTATTTGTGTGTAATATTGTTTTATTGTACTATAGTGAGAAAACCTTTATTGTATTTTGTTTCATTCAGCATGTAGCCTACAGATATTTMCTTTTGTGCTGCCTGTTTYATAAAGTTTATGCCAGAGGTSTCCAAACATTTTCCCCCAGGGGGCCAAAATGAAAATCTATCCAGGKCTGCGGGCCAAATGCAGTWAWATAATACATGAAATACAAATACTTTTTAAGTAAAGTCCTTTATTTTTAATGATTAAGCTGTGCAACGGTCCTGTTTTGTTTTTGTCAGGGCTCTTGGAGAAAGTCTGCCATACGCTCAAGTAGCAAAGGCTCATGGGACATTTCATAAATTGATAAAATWTGAGTTTTTGTGGCCTTATAAAGTGTGMAAATCTAMATRTGRGGTTAAATCTGCTCTAAATATTTCTTGTCATTTCATGTTTCRTGTTTAATCCTAATAAATCAAAGATAAAGTCAGCAGCATGAATGAAAACTACCTTCACTAACAGCCCTTTTATAAAGTCATCTGACCAGTGGAAAYAMTGYGTTTCTACATAACAGGTTACAACCTTGTAACTTTGKCAACTGTTGGTGGGCCAAATCAAATGGCTTGGTGGGCCAAATTTGGCCCGCGGGCCCCACTTTGTGCTCCTCTGGTTTATGCACTTTATTAACAAGTTTTCATGTGTCTGCAGTCATCTTTCTCTTTATTATAAAATAATATTGAAATAATGTAAAACTGACACAAAAACATTATTTGAACTATTTTTCCAAAACGTCTCAAGTTTGTCTCCTTTGTACAAATTTACACTGTTTTCACACAGAAAGGTGACAAACTGATGGGTCACATTTTTAACCTTATTTTAATTAATTTTGTCTTTTGAAAAACTGCCAATAGGCAAAAGATATTTTTACATAAATTTATACAAAAAACACCTGAAAAAATACATTTTTACTTAAACTTTCATAAAAAGTAAAAGTAAAATAATCTTATCAGGGCATTTTGTCTTGTTTTAAGTGAAACTATCTCACCCCGTTGGCAAACAGTTTTTTCTTGACAAGTCAAAATGACTCAAATTAAGATCAAATATTATTTTTGGGCAATCTTTACACATCAGGATGGGTTAAAAATCAGGGGTTTTTCTTTTCTAACTTCACCATCCCCCCCTGTTTAGCATCACCTGGAAGTGGCTGCAGGTACATAAATGACAAAAGCTTATTATAATGGTTGTAAATCATCCCAGTTCTGCCATTTCTGAAAAACCAGTCATTAGAAAATGCTCATAGTTCCAATAATAAACCCCTTTTAATCACACAAGTGTTTTAATCTTTTAAAAGTTGAAGCTTAAATAAACCAAACTCAGTAAATAAAGAGTTTTTCTGTTTCAGTCGCGCAGAATGAAACTTTATTTTGTTCTTGTCGGCCGGCTGATAAGAATGTGCTTCGGTCAGGGATCAGGTTTCTTTGTTCTTCAGTCACGTTGCTTCTCAGCAGGAAGGCGACCAATCGTCTCGGAGTCACGTAGACCCGCGCCTATAAAACCGGACCGGACCTCGTGCCCCCCAGGATACAGAACCGAGACCCGGATCCTGCGTCGCACGTGTGTCCGAGTTTTACGCACTATTCCTGGGGAAAATGCTGCGCGTCAGGTGCCTGAGAGGAGGTAGCAGGGGGGCCGAGGCCGCCCATCTGATCGGAGCCATGGTTGGTAACCTGCTGCTGGTTTTTACTCTCAAACTTCTGTTTGGTTTGGTTCTATTTTATTTTATTTTATTTTATTTGGTCTTATTTGTTTTTGACTGTGGTGATAAAAAGCACAATCAAAGGGGGAATAAAGACTTTTGGTTTCTGATGAAGTGGTTCACTGGGCTGGCAGGAGGGAGTCTCCATCAGGTCGCAATTCTTCATTTACGTTCACGAAATAGTCGCAAAATGGTCGCAGATGTCTCCAAACTGTCTGCAGAGAGTCAGGACCAAGGTCAGGGTTAGGGTGGACTTTTGACAGAAGAGTAGTGTCTTCTGCTGTTTGACCCGGTTCTGGCAGTCCAGTTCTGGTCCTAAAACTGAGTCTCACTTACAGGGACCACCAACAAATTACTGAACACACRAAAAAACAAAGTTAAATCAGCTCCGTGTCATGTGACCAAAATATTTTACTAAACAAAACAAAGAGTTAAAACTATTATTTTTAAATATTTTTCCTCTGATAAAAACACAAATAAAATAAAAACTGGTTCAAATCTTTGTGTCTAATGTGTCCTGCAGCCGATTAAAGCATCAGAATCCTGAATAATAATTCAGCTAAACCTGCAGTTTTTCACTGTATTTTATTTAATGTGTTTTTCTGTTTCTGCATCATTTTTGTGACTTATTGATAAAAATTACTGATAAAAATTATTGATGAAAATGAGTCATTTTCAGCTGTTTTCACTCCTTTGCTGTAAATAAACGGTTGGAAACGTTCAGGAGGCTGCTGGAGGAAAATGTTGGTTTTCTTTTGCTCGGTGAGTTAGAAGCGAAGCATCGGAGCAGATTTCTTGATTTATTGATGGGTTTAGCTGTTTGAGGAAAAATAAATCAGATATGACTGAGTTTTTACTCAGAGTCCAAAGACTGATCTGATTTTCCAAACTGCACATTTTTTTTCTTATTTTGTTCTGCTGGTTTCTGAGTGACTGAACAGCTGTTTGGCACAAACGGCTCAAACTCAGTGACACCCGAGCTGGTCCGGGGCCAGGGGGGTCACACTGTAACTGCTATCTGAGGAGATAAGGCTGTTTAATAACACGTGTACTTTGGCACCGGACCAACCCTTACAGCCGGCGCTGAAGTGTCTCTTATCATTTTTCACTTTACTGTATTTAAATAGGCCAAGGTTTTTTATAGCACCTGCAGTCGACCACGTTTTCTGCACAGAAATGAAGCTGCAGCATAAAAATCACACAGCTTGGATTTGATTTGGTGCATTTTTAAGARCATGCTTTGCATTTTTTCCCCCCACAGGTGGGCCGCTCCGTCGCCGGCTGGGTGCAGAGGGCCTTCCAGAGCACGTCGAGTGCAGCAGCTGCACAACAACAGGCAGCTGAGGAGGAAGCTGTTACTGAGCCCCTTCAGCAGGAATGTCCTGTCTGCAGCCACAACGAGTGGGACCCTCTGGAGGAGGTCATCGTGGGCCGGGCCGAGAACGCCCATGTGCCTCCCTTCACCGTGGAAGTGAAGGTAAGCTCGTCGGGACGGCCTGCTGCCTGAATCGTAAATCCACGACACTGACTCTTGTTTTTTTAATGAATCCAAATAGGCCAACACGTACGAGAAGTACTGGCCCTTCTACCAGAAGCACGGGGGCCAGTCTTTCCCAGCGGAACACTTGAAAAAAGCCGTTTCTGAAATAGAAGAAATGTGCAATATCCTGCGTCATGAGGGCGTCGTTGTGAGGAGACCAGAACCCCTGGACTGGTCCGTGGAGTACAGAACCCCAGATTTCACATCTACAGGTATGTAGACGTAGACTGATAGAAATAAAGATGGACGAGTTTGTTTCTGAAACCAGGGTCTGCCCATTCCAGAGTAGATATGCTAAAGTCCCGCCTACACATCTTCCAAAAGTCCCGCCCACACTGCCTTCAGAGTCCCGCCTACACATCTTCCAACGTCCCTCCTACACATCTTCTAAAGTCCCGCCTACACATATTCTAAAGTCCCGCCTACACATCTTCTAAAGTCCCGCCTACACATCTTCTAAAGTCCCGCCTACACATCTTCTAAAGTCCCGCCTACACATCTTCTAAAGTCCCGCCTACACATCTTCTAAAGTCCCGCCTACACATCTTCCAACGTCCCGCCCACACTGCCTTCAAAGTCCCGCCTACACGTCTTCCAACGTCCCGCCTACACATCTTCTAAAGTCCTGCCTACACATATTCTAAAGTCCCGCCTACACATCTTCCAACGTCCCGCCTACACATCTTCTAAAGTCCCGCCTACACATCTAAAGTCCCACCTACACATCTTCTAAAGTCCCGCCTACACATCTTCTAAAGTCCCGCCTACACATCTTCTAAAGTCCCGCCTACACATCTTCCAACGTCCCGCCTACACATCTTCTAAAGTCCTGCCTACACATCTTCCAATGTCCCGCCTACACATCTTCTAAAGTCCTGCCTACACATATTCTAAAGTCCCGCCTACACATCTTCCAACGTCCCGCCTACACATCTTCTAAAGTCCTGCCTACACATCTTCCAATGTCC